CTTTGGGAAGGGGTTGGGGTGCCCACTGTGTGCCTGCCCCTCCCCTTCCTTGCCCCCAAAACGCCGCTTTGCACCGTCTGCTTCCCCACTAAGTGTGTTTTTAACCTTCCAAGGCCAATCACAAAACAAAGCACTCTAAATATAAGATATATAGCTTAGGAAAATTGTACTATGACAAAGAGATGTTGTTCATTACATAAGGGAGCATTCATTCATTCAAAAAAAGTGGTAGACATGTCATCTAGTTTGACTCAGAATTAGGTGCTGTATTTAAAAAGTAAGTTAAATATCACTGTTCACACAGTGAAAATACCAAGGCTAAGAAAGACAATTGAAAAGAACTGAATCTGTTCTTGCAGTCATAGCACTCAGGATATTCTGGAGATAACCTGTATTCATGAACTTTGTGCTTTTCATTCTCTGTCAATGAAGTATATCTACTTGCCCTTCAAAAACAACTGTGAGTCACACCTGACTCATAGAATCGACCAGGCAAAGCTTCAGTACATTGCCCGGGAGGAGAATCTGTTGACCCATTTTGAGAAATATGCAGTTTAATTCTATGTCACTTTGCCTAGACTTGACACCTATGCACATTTACTTCGGAGTAAATGTCAAGGGATAAAGTGAATTTCTCTTCTGGGTATAAATAGCTTGGGCTCCAGACCACTTGCATTTCTATAAGGCGTCCACAGTGGGCTAATGCTAGCTCTGTTACTTCTGCCTTTCCTCCAATGAGTCCAAAGTAGCAGATGTGTCTTTCTTCTTCCATATTCAGGGTGATCAGATGTTCTTCTTTTCCAGGACAGCTCCTACATTTCAGCCTTCTGTCCAGGAGGAATTCCAAAACGTCCTCCATTTTGATCATGACAAAGAAGCAGGAATTTATATTTATGTTAGTGTTTTTAGCTTTTCTATGGTTATGTCCTATAGCAGGGGTTGGCGACGTTACCTTACCTGGGGCCGGTCGCTGGTCCCAGGTCTTCCAGCGGGCCAGGGGGGGAATGGTGTCCGCGACTCGTTTGCACATGCACAGTACTGTTGCGCATGTGCAAACAAGTCACGGCTGCCATTTTGGCAAACAAAATGGCAGCCATGACATGCGCAGCAGTGGCAGCAGGGGTCAGCAACAGCGACAGCGAGGGTTTTCTTGGCAAGTTTCTTAAATTTCTTACATTTTGCAGTACCTTGTCCACTTTTGCACTTAGGACATCTAGTCACCCTGTCCTTACTTGCCATCATAACAAACTTGTGAGGTAGAGAAAGACTGACTGCCTCAAGGATGCTCAATGACAATGTCTTCCATGGCTCAGTATCTTACAAGTCCCATTAGTGCTGTAATCACTATCACACATTAGTGTTCAATAGGAAACTCAGGGCAAACCTAGTCCTCAAGCAAAGGAGCTTCTAGTTTCATTCTAAGTGCTTCTTTCTTCATAATAAGAGCATCTAGTATTATCCAGAGAGCCAGTGTGATGTAGTGGTTTGAGCATCGGTCTATGAGTCTCGAGAACAGGGTTTAAATCCTGGCTCGGCCACGTAAACTCACTGGGTGACCTTGGGCAAGTCACACTCTCTCGGATTCAGAAGGTGGCAATGGCAAACCCCTCTGAAGAAACTTGCCAAGAAAACCCCATTATAGATTCTCCTTAGGGTTGCCATGAGTCGGAAACAATTTGAAGGCACACAACAAGTGTCAGCCAATTAAACTAACAGCTATAAATAGGTTTTGAACAGACAAAGAAAGTCCGCCTTCAAATAAGATGTGTGGGAGACAAAGTGCCAAAGGGGTCTTCTCACCAATCCTCCTGACTGTATATAACTGGATAGTTCAGTTAAAAACAATTTTAAAACCCATCTACGTCCAGTAAACTATCAGTTCAGACCACCACAGGTGGCATTCAGCATTAATGCTTAATAATTAATAAACTTCTTTCTGCCTTCTAAGTTTTCTGAAAGTTGATCATTTCCTAGTAGAAATATATATATTCTATAATATGTAGCACAGTAAAAAGTTTAAGCACAGTAGGCACAATGGTTCAGTAGACATATTAGTGTAGGAATGGGAATCATATGGCCCTCTAGATACCATTGGATTGCAAATCCCAGCAACCTTAGCCAGTGCTATAAGATCTGGAGGGTTGTACAATTCTCTCCCCTGCATTAATGTGATAGATAAATCATCTTTCTTTCAATCTAAAATAATTTTTTTTAAAAAAGGGAAAAAAGATAAGATTTCAAAATGTGGTTGAAGTGCAAACTTAATTTTTAAACTTAGTGGTTTAAAGGTATAAAGATACTTTAGGCTGCAGTCTTTACTATAGTTAACAAGGATATAAACCTCTTTGCACATAGAGGGACATACATTCCGGTAAACCTGGATCAGACTGCATTCTTAATTACTCAGTTTTTCCAAGTCCTTGTTTTTTCAGAGCCAGTTGTGATTGAGATAGTTTTAACAACAGACAAGGTAATGCCTATAAGAAACAGATCAGGCTGGCATAATGGCTGACACCTTCAAATATCATCCTTTTGCTCTTTTAAGAATGGAAACTGCTCATATCACACCCATTATAAGCCCAATTCATCATAACTTTTTCACTTTCAGGCATTCAGTCAGAAGATGTGCTGATGAACATGTCAGCTTTAGAAGGGGATTAGACAAATCTCAAGAGCATGGGACTATCAATGGTTCTTAGTTGCAAGAGCCAAATAGATCTTCCATATTAAAAGGCTTGTATGTCTCCGAATATGAAAAACTGATACGTAAGAGAAGAAACCTGCTTTCTTTATGATCTTTTTGGGAGCTTCCCAAAGACATATGGCTGATTGCTTGAAAGAGTGGGATGGATCTAGCCTCAGGTTGTCATGTTCTTATGTTTATTTCATTAACGTGAAATCCTGCAGATGTGTTAGATTACAACTCTCTTTACCTCCATCGGAGCATGATGGGAGTTGTAGTCCAACATATCCAGAGAGTGCCCGGTGTGGGAGGAGGGACAGGATGATGCACATTACTAGAAGAAAATTTATCGGTTTTTCTGGAGGGGTTTCATGATGCTATGGCAATGATCACCATGGCAACAGATAATGAATAGGCTGCCAATGAAATGCAAATACTAAATTTGGTTTCAAGTGAAAAGCAAAGTGTAGTAATTACAGGAATTTCCTTCACTGAGTCCATGCAATAGGCCAAGCAGCAACCCAGCAAGTTTCCATTTGCAAGTGAGGCAAATCTTGCCCCCACCTATCTCAGAAAAGGAAAATCAATTTGAATTTTATATAAATAGCAAGGCAGCAAGGCCATTTCACTGAAGAATGGTCAGTTCCATTTCACTGACAAATGGTTATATTGGACTTTTCCCATCAGAACTGGCCATTGGCAGCATTGGTTGGGGCTGATGGTTGTAGTAATCAAAACATCTTTCTTGAAGTTACCAGGTTGCAAAAAGTTGATTTATGAATTAAATATTCCCAGACTGCAATGTGTTGTGAATTGTGCAGGACGGTCAGCATTCTTGTTGTGTTTTATAGAAATAAATCAGCTGCTAAAATTCTTCCCCCATCCAAAACACCCCAAAAACCCACAAAATTTGACAAAAATTGGTTGTCGCACTTCTCAGCCAAAGAATCTAGTTACTTGGTTTTCTCTCTGCCTCGCCTTGATATGCTATCATCCAGCCTTCTGTTGCTCTAAATATTTTGCTCTCTGGATGTGGCAAGATTTAGGATCCCTCACATTTGTAGCCCTTCCCCCAAATAAATTGTTCTTTTTTAGTCAAAAGATTACATCTGGGGATGGCTAGGAAGGATGAGGAGTTAGATCCTTTCCATGTTGTTGTGTGCCTTCAAGTCATTTCCAACTTAATGGCAACCGTGAAGTCGTAGGCTTTCATGGCCGGCATCCATAGTTTTTGTGGGTTTTTCGAGCTGTGTGGCCATGGTCTAGAAGAGTTTCTTTCTGACGTTTCGCCAGCATCTGTGGCTAGCATCTTCAGAGCTGAAGATGCTAGCCACAGATGCTGGCGAAACGTCAGAAAGAAACTCTTCTAGACCATGGCCACACAGCCCGAAAAACCCACAAAAACTATTAATGGCAACCCTAAAGCAAACCTATCCTGGGGTTTTCTTGGCATATTTCTTCAGACAGGGTAGCATTTGCCATTGGCCATCTCTGAGGCTGAGAAAGTGTGACTTGCTCAAGGTCACCCAGTGGGTT